TATGAACAGATGCAGCTCATATTTGACTACCTTGTCATCACGGTACAAAGTGTGCACAATACCATAGCTAGGTGGTACTCACAAATATAGAAATCATGATATCTGATAAAAGACAACATAAAATTTAAGGCTGCAACTTACTAGTATTAGTAAAACTAAGACTCATCAACGTCAATAGTGCAATACATTGGATCTAGAACAACTGCAATGAGAAGTTAGGAAGAAAAATGGAGTTAGGGTTAGGGATTTTTTAGTATTTGTATTAGAGAATTCGGTTCGGTTTTTTCGGGCGGTTCAGGGGTTCAAACCGAATCCGGACCGGTTTAATTCGGTTCGCGCGGTTTAGAGTCTTCTTCTCATCCATTTAATCCGGTTCGGTTAACCGGCCCGCTTTTTCGGGCGGTTTTTTCGGTTGAACCGGTTTTTTTGGGTTTTTGCCCACCCCTAATTTTAGTTGTTCCAGGAAGAGAAAATTGTGAAAAGGACAAAAAAAAGAATGAGAAGGAGATGATATAGAAAAAGGACAAAAAAGAGACGAAGGACAGTCACTATAGCGTTACTATTAACCCAAACATAGTTCTTTTATTAGCACACATCCTCTCAGAACTATCTGCATGCGGGTGGTTCTGAGTCACGACTCCTCATTTTGCATATGTATGGTCATAATTGCATGCTTGTATGTTAACGGTTCTGATATGAATAGTATTCATTTTTTATATAATAGTCTAGATCGATAGACACACTGAGAAACAATATATATGATATCCAATGATACTTGACTTGACACTAGCATATCATCTACCGAAGTCCTAAGCTTACACCATTAGCCTTTATTTAAAAGATAACATATGACAACATATACCATAAATAGCCTGTGTAGCTTTGTTGGTCCAAGTGAGAATAACACACTATAATGTAGTTACTAAAATGGAAGCATATCTCATAATCTTCTCTTCCTTATCATTCTGCTCCTTTATCTCTTCTGGGGCCCACCTTCATGTCTTAGATAACTTCGCTTGGGTCACGTTGTGCTATGGAAATAATCAAGTGTTAATCACATTCAATTGGCTGATACATGTCTCACGCAAGCTACAATGACTTGACCCAGATGCACCTACTTTTCGTCTCCCTTGAGGGTCAAGACAAAAGGCGTCCCTTCTCGTCTCCTTTAAGGGTCGAGACTCAACTCAGCTATATACTTAGAGAAAATTATATAAGTTCCTTGATCCCCTTTAGATCATGACTAACTTAATCGTCGGAGGAACCACCGTAGAACCCAACTCTGGTCCTTTAACGCATTGCATACGTGCATGATGCTCCTTCTGTCGGGGAATCAGCAATCAACTTCTGTCGGGGAATCAACAATCAAAGGAGGTCGCAGGGAGGCAGTGCCGGCGACGAGACGTCGCAAGGAGGCAGTGCCGGCGACGAGACGTTGCAAGGAGACAATGTCGGAGCTCTTCTTCTTCTTCTTCGTCTGCTTGTGGTCCTTAGGATAAGTCACCGACCACCCTCTTCCCTTTATCCCGACGACGGTATACCCTGTCACCCTCGGGTTTGGTTGGAGTTCGGATTTCGGGGCGCAATAGGAGATGGACGACGGGGGTCGGAGATGGAGGTAGGGGAATGACGTCGTCGTTCACAAAAGGAGTGATCGTTTCTCAAGTCCGCTGTAGCCCTAATTTTTCTCTTTTCTTTCTATCGGTTTCATAAGAAACCCTTAAACATGAGAACGAGTCAAATGGGTTTGGGTTTTTATCACTAAACCCAAACCCGATAATAAAAAACAGATCTAAAAAAATAGTCATATTTGTCGATTTTTCAAGACTGAAAAATCGGTTGATATGTCCGATATGGCCCCAATATTTTCGATTTGGCCCTAAAAACTGACATGAGTTGAAAACGCTCATGTCGTGTCGCTCAAGCCCTCAAACGAAATGTCGGCCGACATTTAAAACATTGCTAAATAGTCATTCTAACTTTTTCCTATATATATTTTTGAATATATTATCTCCTTATTACTATTATCGTTATTTTAAATTTTGAATTTATCAAAATATCAACAAACAAGTGACTGTTAGAATTAGACTGTTGAAAATGATTGTTCTTTACTATTGGAAAATGTCTGTTTTTTCCAAGGGGTGTTTTAAAAAGTTGTGACTGTTGAAAATACTTTTTCAAATCTATAAATAGTCTATGATTTTAAACATATAAACTTACTTCTTTCTCAAAAAAAATTATCTCAAAAAAATCTGTAATTTTACAAACTTGTTTCATAGAGAACTCATGGAAAACTCCAAATTTGCTTGCTGGAATTTTGAATTTTCTATTGTATCATGGGAAGAAATTTTGCATTAAGTAACTTTGAATTTGAAGTGGGGCAAATATTTATTTAAGAAAACTATTTCAGGCCTCAGGAATTCTCTCTCCTTCATTATATTTTCTAGCATA